TGTTAACAAAATTTGGCAGATTATCAGTAAACATTACAATGCTTTCATATGTAAAATAGATAATTTTTTTATTGAATCTTAAGGTTTGTAAAGCAATGTTTTTCTCATGCTTTTTTTTCTTTTCACATGTTTTCTATCTATCATGCAAAGTAATTTTTCATTTTAAGATTAAAAATAATTTTATGCATCAGATAATTATCAAATTTCACATGCGAAATTTTTATAATGTCGAGATAGTTATCAAACATTTCTTAAGAAAAAAGTTTATATTTTATCTGTTATTTTCAGTAATTAACATCTGTACGGGTTTGGTAGATTTGACCAATCTCGCAACCACCACAAAAAATTAGGAAATATATATAAATTATACCTCTTTCATTCTAGAATTAACACAAATGTTTAGACTAAATAGCTTAAATCTCATAATAGTATACAGTTATATAAATTTATTATATTGACCTTTCAGCCATGTCTGGCTAACAATACAGAAGTTACAATGACACAGCACACATGCACTCATGTTATCGTATCAAATAAGATAAAACTAACCTTTGGTCTGTACAAAGTAACTTGTCTTGACTGTGTTTTAGTAGACTAGTATTTTGTAAAATACAGTCACATTTCAATTATTATACATTATATATGTATATAGATTATTGCTATTTTGAAACAAGTTCTTAAACTTATTTTTCTTAAAAAATAGAACAGTAAATAAAGAAGTAAAGCAAACAATTACCTCTTCTAGTTATGACCTTTGTACTCGGTTTCTGCTTGAAGTAGGTTGCGAAGATTTTAAAAATTTAGCACCTGGAGGATAAGAAATATTTTTTTAGGTTTTATATATACATTTGAATAACTATAAAAATCATAAATTACTACATTAATACCATAGAATTCCACTATAATTTATCAAGTTTAGTAACTAAGATGTATTTTAGTCTAAAAAAAAAAACAAAAAATGAAATTTTGAGCAGACTAAAGACACACCCTACCTCATTGAAATCTTTGTTCAAAAGAAAGAAATGGCATCCCAAGAATTTAAAATGGCCGAGAAAGCCACTAGGGGACATTCTGAGCTTCTGATTGGATATTCATGCCATATATAGAAGTGTATATAAGGAAGAACTTCCAAAAAAGGAAAGAGATTGGCAGGTTGCCATTGTTTGATTTATTACTTGAGCAACATCTTAGCAAATTGAAAAGATAAGACCTTCTTACTTTATATTCTAGCTTGTCAATATCAGTAATTTGACTTTCTAATTCATATGAAATAACAGATTTAGTATTTTGACTTCACAAACATCAAATTTAAACCAGTAATGCATTCAACATACCACGTGACACACAAAAATAC